ACTATAATTGACCGAGATTGTACTAATTTGACTTCAATTGCACTAATTCGAGTTCGATTACACTATAATTGACCAAGATTGTACTAATTCGACTTCAAGTGGACTAATTCAAGGCCGATTACACTATAATTGACCGAGATTGTACTAATTTGACTTCATTTGAACTAATTCGAGGTCGATTTTACTATAATTGACTGAGATTGTACTAATTTGACTTCATTTGGACTAATTTAATTTCAATTGGACTATAATTGACTGTGATTGTACTAATTTGACTTCAATTGGACTAATTTGACTTCAATATGACTAATTTGACTTCATTTGGACTAATTCGAGGTCGATTACACTATAATTGACCGAGATTGTACTAATTTGACTTAAATTGGACTAATTTGACTTCAATTGGACTATGATTGACCGAGATTGTACTAATTTCACTTCAATTGGACTAATTTGACTTTATTTGGACTATAATTGACCTTGAATTAGTACAATCTCGGTCAATTATAGTGTAATCGACCTTGAATTAGTCCAATTGAAGTTAAATTAGTACAATCTCGATCAATTAAAGTGTAATCGAACTCGAATTAGTCCAATTGAAGTCGAATTAGTACAATCTCGGTCAATTATAGTGTAATCGACCTCGAATTAGTCCAATTGAAGTCAAATTAGTACAATCTCGGTCTATTATAGTGTAATCGAACTCAAATTAGTGCAATTGAAGTCAAATTAGTACAATCTCGGTCAATTATAGTGTAATCGAACTCGAATTAGTCCAATTGAAGTCAAAATAGTACAATCTCGGTCAATTATAGTGTAATCGACCTCGAATTAATGCAATTGAAGTCAATTTAGTACAATCTCGGTCTATTATACTGTAATCGAACTCGAATTAGTGCAATTGAAGTCAAATTAGTACAATCTCGGTCAATTATAGTGTAATCGAACTCGAATTAGTCCAATTGAAGTCAAATTAGTACAATCTCGGTCAATTATAGTGTAATCGACCTCGATTTAGTCCAATTGAAATCAAATTAGTACAATCTCGGTCAATTATACTGTAATCGAACTCGAATTAGTCCAATTGAAGTCAAATTAGTACAATCTCGATCAATTATAGTGTAATAGAACTCGAATTAGTGCAATTGAAGTCAAATTAGTACAATCTCGGTCAATTATAGTGTAATCGAACTCGAATTAGTCAAATTGAAGTCAAATTAGTACAATCTCGGTCAATTATAGTGTAATCGAACTCAAATTAGTCCAATTGAAGTCAAATTAGTACAATCTCGGTCAATTATAGTGTAATCGAACTCGAATTAGTCCAATTGAACTATAATTCGTGCAATCTCGGTCAATTATAGCGTAATCAACCTCGATTTAGTCCAATTGAAATCAAATTAGTACAATCTCGGTCTATTATAGTGTAATCAAACTCGAATTAGTGCAATTGAAGTCAAATTCGTACAATCTCGGTCAATTATAGTGTAATCGAACTCGAATTAGTCCAATTGAACTATAATTCGAGTTCGATTACCCTATAATTGACCGAGATTGTGCTAATTTGATTTCAATTTTACTAATTCCGTTTTATCTGTTTTTAATTTTTTTTTATTAAAAACGAAATTTTGAAATTCGTGTTATTTGTTTTAAATATATATATATATATATATATATAAATTTTTTTAAATTCGACTTTTTCAAAACAAAAATATTAAAATAAAAATTGATGACGAATTATGGAATTTTTTTTTAATTTTTTTTAATTTTTTTAATTTTTTTTTATTTTTTTTATTTTTTTATTTTTTTTAATAAAAAAATAAAAACGGATTACGAAAATCCGTTTTTTAATAATTTTTTTTNATTAAATAAAGTTTCTCCAGGGAGAAAAAAAAAGAAAAAAAGAAAAAGAGAAGCTGCAATCTTGTGGATATGCTAACAAAGTTCTAAGATACACAAAGTGATGTAACACCATATCTCCCCTCTATTTCCCATTTTTTATCTACAAGTCTACTAACTAACAATTATAAGTACTTTAAATATTATTATACTTTAAAAAATAAAATAAATAACAATATGACTTTTTATTGCATAATTTTATATTATTGATAAAAGAATATAACTTACCAAAAATATAACAAGTTGATCTGTCGTTGGCTGATTTTATTTACGTATTTCTTTTTTTATTTTTTTCTCTAATTGGTTGCTTTAAGTTTGGAGGTATGACTCGTGAAGTTTGGAAGAGAATAAATGCAAGATGAACTGAATTAATGTTAGATGTTATATATAAATATAATTAATTATTATTATTTAATTATATTAATAATATTGATGATGGAATATTGCGATTGAGTTAAAGTTAGTTAGATGTTTAAGTATGAATTTTTCAATCTTTTAAGGGCACATTTGGTTTCCTAGACAGGATTAGATTATTTTAATTTGTAGAGCCTGATTATACTGTTTAGATTAAAGAAATCCATTGTTTGTTATGCATGATTTATGTTTTCGATAAAATTGAAAATAAGTTCAACCTACATTTGTTTTGCATGATAGGAATTACATTACGGTGTATATTGACTAAATTGCCCTTGTTTTAGGGGTCAAATTATAACATTATTGTTGGTGATTTTTTTAATTTCTTTCCCTGCGTGTGGGAGCCAGAAAATTCTTTCTCTTCCGTTGAGCTTCTTCAGAATTTTGGGGACGGCAGAGCACGACGGGGTCATCTATTAGCAAACAATTTGAAGAAATTGTGTTCTTGGTGGTGCGTCCTCCTATTTGCAATTTCACTCATCCAGTTTGCCCTAATAATCATTTTTTTCGTTTATTTTTTTAATCGTTCTTCATTACTGGCAAGATCTATAATATTTTCAATGTTGTAATTCAATACTGTCATAATTGGATCTTTGAACACTGTTTTCAATCTTTTCCACTGCTTCGAAAAGCCTATTCAATGGAATCTTCCGACGATGTCGATTAACCTGCAAATTTGAAGATTTTATTCTCTGACTCCAATTGCTTTTTTTGCTGTTTGTTGGAATAATGACAGTTCCGCTTTTCCAGCTTCCGTGTTTGGATTAATTTTTCTCTGAAACAATTTCCTCAACACTGTATATATATATATACCCCATGCCATATTCATTACTCCATTAACAAAAGTGAGGGAGTACACATTTCTTATAAACCAACCAACAACATGCCTCGTCTGTCCGCGGCAATAACACAAGAGGAGTGCTTGTACGATGACCGCTGGACAAAAGAAGCCGACAATCTTTTTATTGACCTTCTAATGGAGGCAAATTCTGTGGGTGATTGGAAATATGGGAGACCCGCTAACTCAGTTTTTGATTACTGCAGGTTGGGCATCAAGGCAGCATTGGACCTAAACTTTAGCCTTTGTGATGTTGAGTTGCGGTTTGATTTTCTCCACAAACGTTATAGTGTTTTCAGACGAAAGGGAAGAAAAATAATATCGAAAACCAAAACGGAATCGGACGAAAGGGACGAGAGCATACCCAGATATTCGCGTTCGCAGAGAGAGAGAGAGTAGGGAGGAGAGTTGTGTCGGTGATTGTCTTTTTTAGATGCTTTTCAGGGTTAATTGGTAATTTTATCATTTACATACTGTGCAGATGCATTTAAACATGGGGTAGGAGAGGAGATTAATTAATCTTCCATACTCGAGATTAGACCCATTTTATCGCGGGCCGGACCTAAAATTGCGGGCTACTATCATATGCAACAAACACATGATAAACCAAGATAACTGGGCTTATCTTACCTAATCTCCCCAACCAAATGTGTCCTAAGGGGTTTTATTTTATAATTTAAAAAATAAATAAGGATTCAATATTTGCTTTCTATAAGTTTCACTTTTAGCCTAATTTCTCCTTATTTTTCTCCTGCCTCATAGCTCACACTGCAAACCATGTCGGCTTATTCTGCGGAGGCACACAGTACGAACACATGCAAAATCAGGCTCCCAATTGGAACCCCTTTTTTCCTGCTATTACGCCTTTTATCTCTCTTTATCTACTTCGCCTGCTTCGTCTTCTTGGTTCCCACCGTTACTGGTTGCTCCAATGGCGGGTGTCAGGTTTCTTTTCTAATTCCCCTTTTTCCTCTATATGGGTCGCTACAATTTACTGAATTTAGGTGTTTTCTTCTTCTATTTTTTCGTTACTTTTTACTGTTTATGCTTCTTTGAGCTGAAATTCTAAAAGTGTTTTCGCAGATTCTAGAATCGTGTTCAGCTGCTACAGATTGTGGGCTTGGGCTCTACTGTGGAAATTGCCCTGCGCTTGGGAAAAATCAACCTTTCTGCGTCAGGGGCCAAGCCACAATTCCAACTGCCATTGTATTACACACTTTAATTTTGATTTACTATGCCAATTTAATTTTAAGGACTGTATGTTCATTTTTCTTGTTTTACTGGACAATGGTGGTTTGTGCGTGATTGTGTGTGTGCCGGTGGTAATGTAGATTAGTGGGCTTCCCTTTAACAAGTACTCATGGCTGGTGACTCATAATGCGTTCTCAATTGTGGATGCACCATCCTTGACCGGTGCTCAGAGAATCACTTTCTACAATCAAGAAGACAGTGTTACTAATCAGTTGAGGGTATGCCGTGTTATCTTTTATATATATGTTTAACTTGCTTGTTTATAGTTTAAGTGTTAATCTTGCGTTTTTTGGTGTAGAATGGAGTTAGAGGGTTGATGCTGGATATGTATGATTTCGAGAATGATATCTGGCTCTGTCATTCATTTCGCGGCCAGTGCTACAACTTCACAGCCTTTGTAATCTTACAGATTGATCTTATTAACTTAAACACTGTCTCTTT